TCCCTGCGGAGAGGGCTGGGGGCCCGGGGGGCCACCCTGCGGGCACGGAGCCCGCACCCAGGGGCCCGACGGGATGCTCTACCCTGTCCGATCGGATGCAAGAGGATGTCGGCTGTGCATTCCCTGGCCTGGACAACGAATAGCTGCGACAGGCCCAGCAGCGGGACATGGATCTAGCAGCGGTGAAAGTGGCCTCTGCAGGAGGAGAAGGCCACCGTACAGGGACCCTGAAGTGGTTTTGTTCTTCCGGTTGTATAGGACCTTTTTACCAGTTTCAAAGCTTGTTTCTTCTCATGTTTTGCCACAAATATTTGTGGTTAATGTAAACTTGATGCCTTGAAATAGGGATCTATTTGGTGTTTGAAGATCTTAACACCTCCTGTTTTCTTGCCAGAAAGGGTGAAACCTATTGTTCCCTGATGTTGCCTCTGATGTTGTCTCCGATGTTGTCTCTGTTACCAGATCTACGTGGTGCACTGAAACCCCATTGTGAGCAAAATGTTGCCCTCAGCCGAGAGATTCGCTTCAAATGGTTCAGCTGCTTTTATCTTCCTTCAGAGGCGATGCGTTTCAGCCAGAACACTGCAAGGAGCCATGCAGTGCGTTTCATAGCAGGCGTCTGTGTGCGTGCTGTGTATCTGTGGTATGCCAGTGGTCAGTGTGTTCAGAAATGGTGGGCGTGTGTTATAGCAGTGGTGAGTGTGTGTGCGTGGTAGGGTAGTGGGGTGTATGGTACATCAGCAGTGAGTAACTCATTGCGGTTGGCCCAGGGAACCTTTTCTTTCTGTGCCCATACAATTTAAAACCAATTTTGGCGGCATCGCAATGTAACCTGTCCTGCGAGGGTCGGCCAATCTCCTGGCGCTGGGAAACCATGAGACTTTCCCTCTAGGGGCCCTTCGGATTAAAACCCGATATGCCAGGCAATCCCCTACCAGGACACTATTTGGGTGCATGTGCTACATGTGTGCATGTGCTCAGGGTGGGGGGTAGTGGACAATTGTGGTGCTTGTGGAGTTTCTCCGTGGTCGTGGAACCACATAGCCCCCCAAGGTGCCCGTCCCCATCCCGGGCTGTCTAAAGCACTTCGCATGGACCGCTCGAACCAGGTAGCAACGCGGAGTCCGTGAGACTCGCCCGGCCCTTTTTGCCAGTTTCGTGGGTGTTGGCTCTTTTTTCCGAGGCTCCTGTGGCGGTGTCCGTCTCCTCTCCAGAGGCTCCTCCTGTCCTCTGGCATCCGCTGGCTGGGGAACAAACTCACGGGCAGAGGGGTTTCGGGGCCACCGCTCCCGTCGCATGCTGGCCGGGCCGGGGTCGGCTGGAAGTTTGGGCCCAGTGGGCCCATGTATGGCGTGAAGCCATCGGGTATGGGGGGCATGGGGGGTGTGATGATTCCAGGGTTTTGGGGCACCCAAGGGGGGGGTGCCTCCCCTGCCGGGGCCGCCCTCCATGGTTTTAATCAGCAGACATTGACCACTGTCTCTCACCCCCTCTCCCCGCCCTGGATCAGTACCGTCCAGGGGGAGATCTGCCGCACCACGGTCCAGGGTCTACGCCAGTAAGTAGTCAGCTTCCCCATCTGTCCAGCCCCTAGGCGCGGGGTATGCAGCCATAGCTTAGAGCCCGCCGAGTAGAAGGGGAGCTCCACACAGGGGCGGGCGCCCTGCTCTTGCCACTTATGTGCGGCCTCCCCTGTTAGTAGGCCTGGCCATGGGCCTCTTGCAGCGTTCCCATCAGATGCTCCATGGGCTGGCTCCCTTCCTCCAGTTGTGGTGGGGGAATGCTGAACAATAGATCTGCCGGTAGGCGAGACTCCTGACCAACATCATTAAGAAGAGGGTCTGCCCAGTGGAGGTGTGCGCCGTGGTGGTGTAGGCGAACAGAGCGTAGGGGAGGTGTTCGTCCCAATCCTTGGCGACCCGCCATACGTTTGAGCTTCCTGGCTAAGGTCTGGTTCATGCGCTCCACTATACCATTTGCCTGCAGGTGTTATCCCGTGGTTCGGTCCTTCTGAATTCCGAACTCCCGGCACAGCGCCTGAAATAGCTGTGCTTCGAACTCACTACCCTAGTCAGTAATGATTCGTTCGGGCATTCATTGTTTAAGCACGTAATGCTCCACAAATTCCCGGGTGACCACAACAGCTGTCTTATCAGGAATGGCCACTGCCACTGGATAGCGCGTGAAATACTCTACCACTACGAGAATGTACTGGTTGCCTCAGTGGGATCGCGAAAATGGCCCCCGTAGGTCGACCCCAACTAATTAGTTTGCCCGGCTGATGCGGAACGGCCTCAGGGGCACCTGATACCACGCCGGTTTCTGCCCACACTCATGACAAGTGCAGCAGCCCTGTACCCAGGCGGTAACGTCTTGCGGCGGTTTGGGCCAGATCTCCCAAGTGTGCTGTTCCCCATCATGGCACCCGAGCAGGTGGTCATGCACCAGCTGTAGCAGCTAGGGCCGCACCTGGGTGGGAACACAGATGCACCCCAGCTGCCCGGCTTCGGTTAGTTCCTGCAAACACCCCATTCTTTACAAACAACCGGGTGTACAAACCACTCCAGGATCCCTGTATGGCGACCATTTCCTCCTGCAGGGCCGCTTACACCGCCACCAGATCCGGGTCCCGCTGCTGGGCCTGTCAGAGCTGTTCGTCGTCCAGGCCAGGGAATGCACAGCCGACGTCCTCTTGGATCCGATTGGGTGGGGCAGAGCGTCCTGTCGGGACCCTGGATACAGGCTCCGTTCCCGCCGGATGGCCCCCCGGGCCCCCGGTTCCTTCCACAGGGATCTCTGTGGCAAACACGGCACTCTCTCTCAACGAAGGATGGTTAGTCTCAGGGCGTTCCAGGGGGGCCGTTGCCTGTCAGCAGCATCCCCCCGTAAAGCACGGGCAGGCCTCCTCAACCCGTGTCTCGGGGCACACCGTGGGTCGCCTTGACAATGCGTCCGCGTTTGCGTGTGTCAGTCCGGCCCTGTACTCGATCTGCAGGTTATACTTCTGCAGCTGCGTCAGCCACTGGGCCATCTGCCCCCGCAGTTCCTTGAATGTGAGGAGGAACAGCAGAGCATAATGGTCAGTGCGCACGCGACATTTCCTGCCATACAAATACGGTCGAAACTGCTTACACGCGAAAATCACGGCATACAGTTCCTGATGGGTCACACAATAATTCAGTTCGGCCCCGCTCAGGGTCCGGCTGGCGTATGCAATGGCCCGCTCCATCCCATCCTGCACCTGTTACAACACCGTGCCCAGCCCACTGCTGCAGGCGTCGGTGTCCAAAATAAAATCGGTGGAAAAGTCAGGGAAAGACAGGGTAGCGGTATGGGTGAGGTGGTCCTTGAGGGTGGCAAAGGCCGTCTGGCAGGCCTCCGTCCACTGATAGGGGTTCTTCGGGGAAGTGAGTTGGGTGAGGGGGCATGCAATCTCGCTGAACCCCTTCACAAATCGCCGATAGTAAGTGGCCAGCCACAAAAATGACCTGATCTCCGTCAGGTTCTTCGGCCGTGGCCATTCCACTTGGGCGCGTACCTTTTCCAGGTCAGTGCGCACCCCTGCTTCACTGACGCGGTGTCCGAGGTACCCAACCTCGCGCTGCGCAATATGACGCTTACGTGGCTTGAGCTTGAGATGGGCTTCTGGCAGTCATTGGAACACCTCCCGTAACCTGGACCAGTGCTCAGACAGGGACCTACTGAACACTATCACGTCATCCAGGTAAATTAGGCACTGTTCCCATTGCAAGCTCTGCATCACCAACTCCATCAACCACTGGAATGTCGCAGGTGCATTAGTGTGCCCGAATGGGAGTACTCGGAACTCGAACAGTCCTATCGGGTTGGTAAATGCGGTCTTTGGGTGATCTTCCTCCGCCATCTCCACCTGCCAGTACCCGGACGCTAGATCGAAGGTGGAAAAATACCGCGTCCCTGCGAGGCTGGCAAAAGTGTCATCGATGTGGGGGATGAGAAAGGCGTCACCGAGGGTAACTACGTTCAACTTTCAATAATCAACGCAAAACCGGGTTGACCCATCCTTTTTCGTCACCAGTACAACCGGGGTAGACCAGGGGTCGCTGGGGGCTGGATTATGCTATTGTGGAACATATCTACGACCACCTCTTTAATCTGCGCCCGTTCAGGTGCGCCCACTCAGAATGCGGGGAGTTTAATGGGTCAGGCTGCACCTGTGTCAATTCGGTGCTTAACGCGGTCCATCCGGCCCACATCCAAATCGTGCTCACTAAACACGTCGGCGTACTCCCGCAGTAACCCTCGTAGCTGATCGGCCTCCCCCTTGGGCAAATCTGCCCAGGGTACATGTAGCGCGTCAAGCAGGGGGACAACCTCGGCTCTGGGAGCCGGGCCAACTCGCCAGGCCAGGTCCTGGTTGTCCTCAGGGTGGCTGGGGTCCTCGGCCCAGAGGGCAAACACAGACTTGCTAGAGTGGCATGCATGCAGGGGGTATACTGTGGCTACAGTGGTGCGCCGCCGCAGTGTTGCCGGGGTGCTGTGGGGGTTAAACACTCATATAAACAGTCGGCCCCCGTCAGCGTTTACCAGTGTGGTTGACCCCACCACCCCGTACCGTGCCACCAACTCTAAGTGAGGGGTCAACATTACCTCACCCGATGGCTGGTGGAAGGAGTCGGTGGCAGGAGTCGCTACCGGTACCAGCATCTCCACGATGGGCCCAATGGTGACAGCCGACAGCAGCCACGGGCTTGAAGTGGTGTCAATCTGGCCCCTGTCCCAGGAACAGAATCCGCTCCCCGCTGCCTTCCACGGTGGCGCTTCGCTGGTGGGGCTGTTCAGGAGGTCAGTACCTGCAATACACTCTAGGCACAACACACTCGACACGTATAATTCTTGGTCACACATCTGGTGTCTGAGACGGACCTCCAGGGTGACCCTCCCCAGCAGGCCATCCCAGCTCCACTCGCAGTGTGCAGCACACGGTCCGGGGCCTCTAGTCGGCCCACGTCAACCCCGACCACGTTGAGGTGTGCCGCACTCACGAGCGAGGGTACCCGCCCCCGTGTCCAACAGAATCCGGGTATGCCTGCCCTTCCACCAGCAACGTGGCTCCCGTGATTCCCGCCACTAGCTCCCGCAGCTAGTCGCCCACAGTCACTGCGTCCTTGGGTGTTGTTGTTGGCATCTGCGAGGAGGTCACTCGCTCACCATTATTATGATCGTCTATTTGTATTGGGACCGTGTCGTTTGCACCCCTAATTGGTCCACTCTCTAGGGGGCATTGGCGTTTAACCCTGGCGTGTGTCTGGCGCAGACGATCTGGGGACAGTCTCTCATGAGATGCCCCCGCATAGATAACACGCCCGGGGGAAGGTAGCGGCTCCGTGGGAGGCCCCCTGCCCACTCCCCCTCTCCCTACGCATCTTCCCGAACTCTGCCTCTAATTGGGACACGCGCCCGTTTAGCCCCCCTACCTCGGCCTAGACTGTCTCCACTGTAGTCTGCAGCTTGGTCATATGCCTGCGTACTTGGGTCACCTCTTCGCCTATGTGGGTCACCCGGCCTGCTATATCCCCTATGCCGGTCTGTAGCCCTGCCACCCATCCTGGGGCTGTCTCACGGGTTCCTGGAGGCTCCCTCGCCCCCCCCTCCCCCTTACCATCCTGGCGAGCTCCTCCTCTGCAAGAAGGCTCGCGATGGCGCGCTCCCGTCCCAGCCCTCGGAACTGTGCGCGCTCATTAGCGAGTCTATCACATGCACGTGCGGGCTCAACAAGGGCATTAAATGGGAGGCGCACGCAGCTTACATCGGGCTGCCACCATGAGGAGCCGGCCAGGTATCACTGGACCTTCTCGGCAGCGAGGTCCTCAGAGATTTCCACAGCGTACCCCGGGCGTGCGCTCTGCGTTAGCGAGCACACGTCCTTGGCATAGTTGCGGAGGTCCTCGCCGGGCTGGTGAAGGGTTGGTCGAGTCGGCGCATTAGTTCCTCCCACTGTGTTTGCGTGCTTGCAGGTAACGCTTCTACAAAGTCGGCTGCCCTCCTATCCAAATGCATGTTTAGCTGTTGTAACGCTTGCGCGTCCGTCCAGCCATTAATATCTTTAGCATATGTGATGTTGTGGGCAAACGACTTCCATGACGGAATCCCTTGGCCGGTGAATACTCATCTTACCTTATCTTGGGGTGGGGCGCCTCTCTTCCTTGGAGGTGTGGGGGGTCGTACCACCTCTGACACCATTATGTGGGGGCTGACGCCCACCTCCCCGCTCCCCGTGAGCGGGCGGGGCGCGACATCCACCCCCTCCACCCTGGCCGCTTCTTGCCAGGCCTCCCGGGCCCCCGCCAATTGAGTGATCGGCCCCCACGCCAGTGCCCTCTCTGACGACATCGCTCACTGGCTGGCTCACCACCGTCTAGGGATTATTACGCGTGCGCCCCTATGGGCACCCTTCACCCCACAACACGCACGCACTCACGGCGTTCCACCTGTCCGCGCTGATTGCGCAATATGTGTGTGTCCGCACTCTCCCTGCGGGCGGGAAGTTAAGCCGTCGTGTTAACATGGCGAACGGCCACCGGTGGTTACTGATTAACACGCTGGCAGCCACAGAAGCTCGGCAGCCAACCGGATATTAATTAATCTGTGCTCGTGCAATACCCACCCACTGATTTATATCACTCTTCACCCACACATGCACAACTTGTCAAACATACATCTGCACCAAGGTTTTATTCCCGGCGCAAATAGTGAACCCCTGTTCATGGCCCCCAGCGAACACCCCACGGGAAGCGCCTAGCCTCTTATTTCCCACCCTTCGCGATGTTCGACTGTCTCGGGCTAGGTCTAATAGGCGAACTGGGCTGAATCGACCAACTGAACGATCACTCAACTCGCAGACACACTCACGGCATTGCACGGACACGGTGGGAGTTGGGGAGGACGCTGGACAGCGAAGACTCTGCCTGGGCGATGGTTCGCAGCTACACCCAGCAGGCGTCACGCGGACGCTGAGGGCGGCTGGGATTCACCACGGGTTGCAAGAGAACTCTGATCTAAATTCTCTCTCTCCCTCCCCTCTTTTCCTCTCAGAGCCCGTTAATCCCCGGGTGACATGATATCATCCTGCGTGGCCAATCGAGTGCTTTTTACCGGCCGTTTTGAATGCTCTGGCCGTTACGGGGGCATCACGTCATCCCCCCCTCTCTTCCCCCCCTCTTCCCCCCCCCCCTTTCCATTGTCCCCATATCTGCGTTCCTCATCTCTGATTCACCGATAATTCCCTAGGTCTCTCTCTCGTAAATCCTCCTCCTATGTGACCAGGGGTTTTCCCCAACACCCCACTGTTTGCACTACCTGTAGAGTGTTTTCTTTGAGGCCTCATCTCCCGTGTCGTGTATGCTTCATCGCGGCCAGCCAGTAAAGCTCTAAGCGCCCCTACAACCTTTTAAAGTTGATTTTAGGGGGGCCGTCATATAATCAGGCCTGGGGGGGGGGGGTCGGCCCATCTCCTGGAACTGGGAAACCGTGGGATATCCCCACTAGGGGCCCCTCGGGTAAAAACCCATGTTACCAGGTGACCCCCCCCACGAGACCCTACGTGAGTGTGTGAGTGTGTGTGTTTAGTGGGGGTGTGCATGCGTTCGTGTGGAGTGGTGCGAGGGGATAGCAGCGCCGGCGGAGTTGTTCCATTGCTTGTGGCACCACAAATTCCTGCCCATAGGGGACGGACGAGCTGGACACTGGACTGCGGAACAAACAAGCACGAGGCGTTGTGTGGAATTGCTGCCCATGGTGGCCGGAGGAGAGAATGGACTTATAAACAAGCATGGTAGAAAGCAAATTTAGTCAAATTAGGAAGTGTAATGCAATGCAACACAGAGAGTCTGTTAGCACACATTTAGTGCATAGCCTGGTTGATTACGTCCTTCCAAAGATTGCTAAATTAGAAGTTGTGTGGAATTAGAAGTTAAGTGTGAAACGCCTACCTATCTCTGGTTTGTGACCTCACTCAGAGCAGAACTCGCCTCGTCGATGGGAGTTGACAACTGTGCACTGAGTCTTGAAATTAATTTTCACCGTCATCAAATCTTGACCGACACCATAGAACACGCACAGAAGAGGAGCCCATCAGGTGCACTGTGTGTTGTAAGACGTTTGCACGGTTACAATCTTAACTGCCAGGGAACACGTTAAAAAACCCTCAATCTAGATTTGAAGTTTTCGTGACTGCAGGGATCCATACTCTTTGGTTCTTTAGGTAATGTCACGTAGGTATAAAATTTAATAAATTAAATCACGACGTTTCGGGCGCAACGCAAGCATCCGTCATCAGGTGGGACAACCACAGCAAGAAACAATTGCTGAAGTGGGAAACAGGGCTGCAAAAAAACTCTGTCAAGTGTCTTGAAACCGAAACACATGTAAGGACATCCATAAAGAGCAGAGTCTGCATTCGAGGTGTGAAATTCAAAGTGCCACAATAAGCTCATCGCTTGTAATGCAAGAACCATAAGAAATGTCTTGCTGGGATACATGGCCAGGAGGAAAGGTGACATGAAGACTCCAGGGTTTGACCTCCAGGGCATCGATGAAGGCAGCTGAAAGCGGGAGGAGAGGGTCAAATGAGGGAGCCCGGGACAAATCCCAGCCGTATGTGGATTTGGAGGTTTGGGTGGAATTTTGGAATAATGTAGAGTAGTAATACAATATATTCTGGTTCAATAAAGATGACCAGCCTTCATTGTATAATCTAACACAGACGGTCATTGAAATAACTTTATATTTTGCATCCACAAAGAGTAATATCTGTGGCCAAGAAGAATCACAGCTTTGTTCGTTCATTCGTTTCTAAACGCGCTTGTCCTGGTGAGGGTTGTGGAAGCAGCACATTGACAAGGGCGGTCCAGACCTCCCTTTCCCAGGCGTTCCCAGGCCAGCCGAGCGACATAGTCCCACCAGTGTGTCCTGCACAGGCCCTGGCATTTTCGCCCAATGGGCCGTGACCAGCAGACTTCCAGGGGTCGTCTATTGGAGACATCCTTACAGATATTCTATATTGATATCACCCCTGGAGCTAGGCCTGGGGTTGGAGTTCGCCAACAAGCGCCTGGTGGCCGCGTGACCCACATCAACCGTTCGGGCCCAGGCCGAAATGGCTACGTGGCGCCGTCTTGTGCACCCACCATCCACAGGACAAAGGGTGAGAGGCAGCTGTGATGCCAGTATGGCAGGGAGAGGGATGGTCTCAGATGGACTAGACCTTGGCGATGGACACTCACAGCTTTGTATGGAGAAAAAGTCCAGGCAACGTCCACACAGAGTTACACAGTCTAATGGTCGTGAACACATTAACCAGGTATGGGAGCTCCTCCACCACTTGTAGAACTGCCTAATTAATCATGATGAGCTGAGCAGGTGCAGTATTGTATGACATGAAATTCCCAGGGAGGTGATTCATTTCTGTGTAACATGTGCAAGGCCCCTTTACGTGATGGCATTCTCCAGGTACAGAACATGATCCCCAGCTCAATCTCATTGAGTCTCCATTATTAGGTCATCAGGATATGTAACATGGTTGACTAGCAGGGCACAATCCCTTAACTATAACCAGGCATCGATTAGCGTATCATTAAATTTCGATTTAAAGCTTTTGTGACTGCAAGGATTCATCTTCTTGGTTCTTTCGGTAAAGTCACGTAGAATGGGAATAAAATAATAAAATAAAATAAGACAATAAAATTCTCACGACGTTTCGGCCACAACACAAGTGGCCTTCTTCAGGTGAAGAGACAGGTCTGTCCGGAAGACAGAGCTTGAATGAATGCTGCCATGCAAGGACCGTGTCTATTAAGCTGTGTGGGCGGAGTTAAAATATGAATTTGCATGTTACCAGCATTACCTCCGGAGAGGAGGGAGGGGGGTGGGAACACAGGCAGAGAGGAAACGTCGTGAGAATTTTATTGTCTTATTTTATTTTATTATTTTATTCCCATTCTACGTGACTTTACCGAAAGAACCAATGAGATGAATCCTTG